CATTCTGTCATTGTCGCTACGGTAGATTCCAATAAACAATTCTAAAATTGCAAAATTCTGTGTTAAAATGAAAGCAACTCAAATGATCCACGGTTTTGATTCAATGCATTATTTAAATTTTTTAGTCAGAATCGAACAAAACGTTAAATTAGTTAAACGTATATTATATTGGTATATTTAGCACCAAGAATAACTTGCTAATTTTAAGAATGTCAAGAATTTAACTTAAGATTTTAAATATTTGAGACATTTAGTTAGAATTTTTTTTGGCGGGGGGGGGAGGAATATGGTGAGGCAGACAGTAGTATTTTTATCTGCAATATTCTCGTTATTTGCTTTTCAACCTTTGACGAAACAATCAATTTTTCGATCCATACTTTCGAGTAACTAAAGTTCATGACTTAGAATTCAGAAACTGCACGAGATAGTACTTTTTATCTCCACTGTGTTGGCACATGCATTTTCCCATAGAAAATTATTTGGCGCATGTTGTCTTATAACCGCAAATATTTAAGAAGTTTATTGAATATAAGTTGCATTTCTTACAAGTTAAGTAACATTTATCAACCGAAGTACTGTACATAAGCAACTTCAGTGCCTAGTTAGTCTAAAGCTTCTTTGAAGCGTCAAAATTGGTCAAACCCATGCATTTTGAAAAACTCTTCAGGCAGCAAGTAAAAATAGCTTTACGAAAAGCTGGGCTTGGTTGATTATGGCAAAGCACTCGAAAGCTCTCTTCTTCGAGGACTTAAGGGAAATTCGCTCCTATCCATGTTGTGCAAAAAATGAAAACGCCTATGCAGGCACTCGTTTCGCTTGAATTTGAACCGAACTGTACTGTTTTGTATTCAACGACTTTATTGCTCGGCCACTGATCTCTATCATGAAATGCTTGATTACCACAACACTAATTATACGGGGTGGGGTTAATGGGACGATGCTTAAAAAAGTGTTCGTCGGGGAACGAGAAAAAAATTAGTATTTGAAACCATCAGCGTGAAGCTAAACTAAAAAAAAAAAGCATGGGTTAACAGTAGATATAACAAATATCTACCACAGGAAATTATCGGTACTTACAAATTAGAGCAAGTACCTTGGGCACAGTTCGGTGAAATTTATGGGAGAAAGAACAATACAGAAAAATTATTTCTTACATATATATTTTAAGTTTGAACGACGTATTTATCTAAAAAAACAATCAATAAACCTACCCGAAAAGAGATTGCTTTGGTGGAAATTTTGTGGCGATTGCTTCCGCAAGACATTTGAAACTTTGCTCTTTTAGAGACTTTGCAGCAAAATATCTTTCAAAAATTTTACGGCCATTTCTACTGCAGTCAAATCCCTTTACCTTTGGAACTTGGAATGCCCCCCCTTCCCCAAAATGGCGACGTCTTAGCTACGAACTGTCATAGATTGTTGCCCGAGTTTGGCCCGTACTGAAACTTCGGCGATTTCTACAAAAGTAGTTGCGATAATACGTAAAACCCAAACCCTGCTAAAAGTATAAAATTCTAATTTATATTTTCTACTTGACTTCTCCATGGCATTATTCAAGTTCTCTTATAACTATTACTCTCAAATGCCATTTATAACTAAAGTTTTTTCCTATACTTAAGTATTATCGTAAACACTTGGCACAGTTTGGCGAATTTTACGGAAAAAAGAACAATTTTATATTACATACATACATCTGTGTTTTAATAATATATTTATTCTAAAAAATAAATTTAGTTAGAAAAGAGTTTTTGTGATGGTGGAAATTTCTTAGCGATCGCTCCGAGAAAGAATTTCAAGCGTGTTCGCTTAGCGATTTTGCGACAAAATGTATTTTTGCAGAAATTTCACTTCTTTCTTCTATTATAGGAAAATTCTAAAAGCAAAAATTTTAAAATAGAGTTTAAGACAAAAAATGAACATGGTTTTTCTGTAAAAGCCATTGGAACTAAGAATACAACAAAAAGAACGCATACAAAATTGGCGACGTTGAAAACTGAATACTTCTCATCCCCGTAGTTGCCTGAATAGTTATGCGTGTGGTTACTAGAGTTTGGGTATATTCTAAAGCTTTGGCGGTTTCTGCTAAGGTGGTTGCAATAGCATGCAAGTATAGTGTTTTTATTTTCTAATGACGTTTATTCTTCCACTTTTTTGTACACTATTCTTTGTTTTGAATATGATTCAATTGACTTAAATATATTTCAAGTAGCTACTTATATTTCGGTTAACTGCTAGAAAAGGTAGGTATATTGTTAAGATTTCTTTTGTTAATTATACTGTGCTTTGTTTCCCTTTACTATCTTTTTTAACCGCCATCGATCTAACACTGATTTTTCAGTTAACCATGATAGTCTTTTTTAGCATGACGCCAATCAATCAGAAGTTACTTTTTTTCAGAGAAATTTAAGCGTAAATTTAAAACTAAAACTTCCTTCTTTCATGCTAGATTTAATTCTGCCACTTTAGGGTACTTGCCAAATGACAAAGAATATCTTGGAAAATGATTCAATATTGGATTCATATTCTTGGAAAATGATTCAAGTATCTTGGAAAATGATTCAATGATTCTGGCGAGTTTTCATTTGCACGTGATTTCTCGTCTTTAACCTCATGGTCAATAATCTGGCCAGTTCCTGAACTTGCAATCATAATATAATTTAGTTTTTGTAGGGACATTATTACATTATAAAAGCAAAGAACTTGAGAATACAGACTTTTAGGAAAAATTAATGTCTTTTCCGTAATAGAATACAAACATTTTTTTCTGAAATGGCAAAAGAGCCAACTTTATACTTCTTGCAGAAAACGCAAAGCTCATTTTAATTGTAGAAGAATTTTTATATACTTAGAGATATCTTTTAGCTAATTTATTTCAATAAACAAATCTGGAAATAGATATTATTCTAAGCCATAAGGAAAGCATTTATTTAACGAGGGCAATTAAGCAGCATTATCGCGCATATCTTTTTGTAGAAAACTGTCTGGCGTGTGTTGTCTTGTAACAGGAAAGATCTGAAGTCTTTCTACAAGGACTTTTTATAAATGACTCGTACTGATATTAACACGTTAATAAAACACATGCAATTACCGTGTCGGTCATCGGTGATCGACATTATACTTTAAGCCACTGCTGAGTGAAGATGTACAGTTTAAAATATTGCATTCGTTTGCCACATTCTACACAGATCTCAGACTACCAGAATATTAGAAAAATCAAATATCTCAGACTAAAGGGTTTGGTTTACTTAATTATGACAAAACACTTAAGGGCTATCTGCCTAAGGGAAGGGAGGCTTTAGTGGAGGCCTTCCAAAGGGAAACCGACTCGTATACACGTTTCACATGGAAAAACCACGAAATTGCCCATGCAGCCAGCCCGTTCGCAGAGATTCTAACCTAAACCAAACTACCAGTGTCAGCTTGGCCACTGGTGGGCCTGCAGTCTTAAGGGGAAAGGAAGATAAAATAGGCTTGGCGCATGACGCGATAACGTCACAAAAATCATTTAATCAAGGGGCTTTTATATGAACTTCTTTATTTCCAAGTCATGTAATTTCCTTTATTAAAGGATGTTTAGGCATCAGGAATCAGCGGTAATTTAAATTTAATATTCTATTCATTCCCGTTGCCACAGCATCTCTAATAATCGTTATTCGACGCATTATTTTTATGTCAGAGTAACTTTCACTTAGATTTGGATTTAACGGCAAAAATATGTTACTCAAGGTTTGTCGCGACTCGTAAAACGTAGTGAGAGTTTAATTGAAAAATTAATTCGAAAGGCGCTCGGGAAGGGATTAAGAAAACATGATAGAAAAATTTGTTTCCCAAAGTTTTGAAAAAGGGACATACATCTATGTAGTTTATCGAAATTACAAGCTGCGGCATAATCATGATTTTATGACATGCTTTATTTTAATTCCTAAATAAAATGTCCGTATAGACCTTTAGAAACTTACTTATATACGTATTACAGTTAGAAATTAGACAGTGTTTCCTTTAGAAAACAATAATGTAGGTTTTCCACTTTGTTAAATTTTTTAGATAAAAGGAAATTAGTGCACGGAAAACGAATTTCACTATCGTAAAGCACATTAGAACTATCTGTCGAAGGGGAGCAGTATCTTTGCAGAGAAATTTCCGAGAGAAACTGGCTTATACACATTTACCATGAAAATGTTCATGCATTCAGTAAATTTGCGGAGATTTATACGCGATTTAAAAAAAATATCGAAAAAATACAAAGATAGTGAATCATCTTCCGAATAAATCTACCGATCTTCCCAAACTTACTTACCAGTTTGGTTAATTTTAATGCTATACTAATACTATTTAATGGAATTCTAAATTTCAAAGCTTGTAATAGGTCTTGAAAACAGTTCAAAGCTATATATTTACTCAGGTAAACATCATTGAATGTGAAAATAAAATGTCTTCAATAAAACGGTGCATACTCTATTGCAACTGACAGGAACAGCTATGATCAAATCTTTTTGCATTTCAATTTATAATAATTTCCTCAGATCTTTTAATGTTTTTGGTCAGTTTTGTACAAAATCGATCCCCCCCCCCCCCAAAAAAAAAAAAAAAAAAAAAAAAAAAAAAAAAAAAAAAAAACTACAGAAAATTCGAGTGATGAAAGTTCAGTCAGCGAACGAATTAATGAAAATTGGAACAGTAACGTAAAAAGAAAAATCGCTTCCCAATTTTAGAGAGGAAATCATTGACAAATCTGGAATTTCCACTAATTAAATAAGTAATAATGGGAAGAAATTTAATCTCTCCATAAACATGTTAACATTCCTGATTCAAAAATTAACTACCAAAGACAAACGAAATCTGCTGTTTAAATTGTATCAACGATAAACTATCCAAACTGTATCATTAAAATTTCGAGGTGCGAAAACATTAAGACTTGCATACGTATTTTAACACTATAGTGAATTGCAAATCTTCCTCAATATTAATAAAGTATGAAAAAATGTTTTTAAAAAACTTACCGCAATTTTCGAACTGTATCTCTCTGGCCCAAACAATGGAGAAGAGTGCAGAAATAAGGAACAGGAAGTTGAAGGTGTGCGCCATTCTGATCACCGAAGCTTAAACTAAGAACAACGCTCAAAAGTCGTACAACCTATCTTGTGACGTCTTCTTATGGAACTGTTCCTTTTTTTCCTTAACTCTCTATGGAAGGTTGTGCAGAGTTGCGTAAAAAGATGAAAAACTGCCGAACCTTGGCGCATACAACTCTGGAATAGGTCATGGCTTCTATAGAAAGTCGCCATACCACTTTGCGGCACTGTGTGAAATTAATTCACAGAAGGGATAAGCTGCTAACTTCTGTGGGTTTTGATTGTTTGCCTTCAGGGTTTGATTGTTTATAAACTATTTCTTTTTAATTTTCATTTCACATAAATAAGTATTATGTCCCAACCTTGGCGGTTTCCTTATCGTGGATTAAGCATTGGTCAAAAGAAAGAAAGCAATCCTACATAAAATTCAATTAAACAGCAATATCACAAAATATTTAAAAACAGTATATCTTTACAATTTGCGATAGACAGTCTCGCAAGAGGGAGATAAAAATGTTTTTCTGTATGTTGTTTCCATTGTTCGTTTTGAAATTGTTGAGTTTGTTAATCGAAAAATTCGTTTAAGTTTTACAAAATATGAAATAGATAATAGAACAAATTAAAAAATAAAAATTTTAGCTTCCAGGTACCCATGTTCGTGTGTAGGATTAGGTTATTCAAAATCGGTTGGCTCTAGGTACCGTCATTTTTTCACAATACAAGAAACATACACACATCCCTGCAAATTATTTTTTTAAATTAAATAAAGGACGATAATAATTGGTGGCAACAATTTAAAAAGTGATACACCATTTATAGTAAACCGACGCGAAATGTCGTTTCGAGACTTCTGGGCTAACGCTCTTTTGGGCTAAAAAAAGTGTTTTTATTCTCTCTGTGTGAAATTGCTAAAGTGCTATATAAAACGCGGAGCCATAAGTGTTTTTAGCATGATTACGCTTAAGATGCTACGGTATCATCGCTGTTGGCAATTGTTATCTGTAGTTAAAACGGGCTCAGTCTCTGTACTGTATAATTAAACCATTTTTTAACCTTTCTCATGCAACATGGAGAAAATAATTATTATGATGAGAATTTAGAAGTTGAGTGGTTGAAGTTGAGTTTTGAGTGGTTGGGAAGACGTGTTTGATTGACAATGTTGATTATAATTCTGACACTTCAAGTAGTGGTTCCGAAATCATACTACCAAAGAAACGACGAATGAGAATTATTGAAAGTGAAGATGAGATTTGCAGGAAGACTTCGAGTGACGCTTGCCCAGTAAAGCCAGGATGCCCATGGGAGATTGTTTCCAAAGATAATCACACCAGGGGATTACAAAATTTAAAACTTATCTTTCATTTGCAAGAAGAAAGTGATATGTATGCATAATAAAAAATAAAACATCACAAGCACATGTAATTCTTCTCACTTAAAATAAGACTCTGTTTCACTCGTTCCGCTGCGAAAATGTGCTGGAGTTGCTGGCAGGCAATGGTACAAAAGTGTGCGGAGCACTAAGAGTTAAAATCAAGAAAAGAAAAGACTTGACAGATTAAGAAGATTGTGGGATCATACAAGAAATAAAGTCCAAAATACAGTGCTTTTAAAATGGCTGTGGAAGAAGAAAAGAATTATGGACAAAAAGCTGATCTAGAAGCAAAATATTTATTGTAAGATAAAAGTAATTTCGAAGAACGAGGAGGTAGGAGGTGATTCACCGTAAACAAAATTAATTGTACGAAAAGATTGAAATTTTAGAAGCTTAATAAAAATAAAGACTTTCTGTTTGGGGAGGAGAGTTTTATTTAAGGAAGAATGAAAATTTAATATCTTTTATTCGGATAATTGAACTTGTATTTGGAGAAGGCTCAAAGAAAAGTATTAAGCATAAGATTTAAAAACTATTCTTTAATATATGGTGGAACGATACTGGTATGAGGATCAGTTTCAGCCGCTAAACCTTTAACCTGATGCGATAATGGATCAAAATTAATATTTATAAATTTTGAAAGAAAATCCAAAAGAGAAGGCTTAAAATTTGGCGTAGACAATTGTTTTCACTTTTATCAAACGACGATCCAAAGCAGAAAGCTTTAAATGCTAGATTGTCTGCAGACTGCCCCTCAATCGCCAGACATAAATGAAAGTAATAATAATTTACGGGCACTTTTGGATGAAAAATTAAAAATTCATGCCATATTCAATTCAAAAAGCATTGAAAGAAATGGTCAAAATTTCTTTTAATTATTAAAAAAAAAAAAAAAAAAAAGGAGTTCATTCAATGCCGAACAAACAATAAAGATAATATTGGAAATCAAGATTTGGTAACCGAATACTAATTTGATTTAAATAATTAAAATTAAATTCAGTAATAATAAAGTCTGAAGTTTTATTTTGAAATTACTTTTCATTACTTGTAGGAATTTTATTCTTTCCAACTTAATGCTAAAAGATTTTGCTTTGCTGTTTTTACTTCCTTGTACAAAGTAAAGGAAGTATTGTAATCGTGAAAGTCTTCGGGTACCATATTTAAACGTGAATATCCAATTTTAGAATTCTCGATTCCATTTTGACTTTTTTTTGTTTCCCCGTGACGTCTGTACATACGGACAAAATAAGGGATTCTTTTTTCCAAAACGGATTGCAAAATGGATTTTTTCCTTACATCTGTACGTAGGTACATACGTATGTACCTCGAGTCATAGAATGGGAGTCGAGCCGCTGTATATGGGACTGCTAAAACATCTAGTTGCGCACCTCCTTTTTTATTGCAACCGGCAGCACCATACGTGTTGTGTATATATATATATATATACCCACACCATTATCTGGCTTTATTTTATTCCGGCCTCAATCCTTAAATATCCTTTATTTTTGCAATCGTTGGTCGTAGTCATATACTTCCTATTACAGAAGTGTTTTAAATAACGAGACTATTTATGTTCTGGTAACGTTAAATTTAATAAAATTAATTTCGGACAAATAACGAAATCTAAATTTTAATGCGGTCCCTCTGTACTTATACTTTTATTTTAGAAACCTTTATATTCGTTATGAAAAAATAAAAATACAAGATGTTTGACCACTGTGCGACAAAAGCTGACCGGGATATTTAATTTCAGAATTTGGAATTTTTGATGTCATTTTCAATTTGGCAATAATTAAGCTGTAAAAATTCGAAGAAGTAAATTTAAATGAAGTGCAGCAAACCATGTGTACATTTTAGTAGGCCGTATACAAGGGAGTCATGTTGTACACACATCATATTTTTTTTTTTCATTTATAAATGCTTTAAAATGGTAAACAAAGATAATTTAAACTTCCGTTTAAATTCTTTCCCTTTTATTAGAAATCCTTTCATAAAGTTTTAGAGATGACACCACCTTCTTAGCATAAAAGTCATAGTCCCTTTAAAGGACGACTGGGAATTAGGGGACCCAATCGCCAAATTCTGGTAGTGAAGAATCATCCTTCATCACCTCTTTGAGTTCGGGCGCCACTGTAGAGACATTAGGTTTATTTTGAAGCCGGAGACATAAAAAATAAGCAATGCCCTTGCCGGGACTCGAACTACGGACCTTTCGAATACGCGCCGAGCGTGCTGGCCATTACACCACGAAAGCATGTTAAGAAGGTGGGAGAAATACCTTATAAAGTGTAAAAATATATGTATGCGGGTTTTATTTTGAACCACTGTACGTCTGTTTCGAAGCACCAATTATCCTACTCGTTTTCCATTATAGTTTATCATGACCGAATCTCGTTAAAATTTTAAGTACGCAATTTATATGGGGTCAAGCTGCCTTTAGCTGTCATTTTTCATTAATGTTATACTGCATTTACTACTTTATTTAAATTTTTTAAAAGGCCTTTCTTTAGAACTTATATATATATATATATATTTTGGAGTTGCACTAGCTTTCTTTCAAGTAACAATCTACGATCTGTCCTGATAGAAATTGCATATAATTGCAAAAGTAATATTTATGATATTAATTTTTATACTAAAAACTGCATATTGTTTTCTTATTGAATTATCACAAAAAATAAACAAAATTAAATTAAGCTGTTAAAAATGCATAAAGATGGAATAAAAATAAAACTTTATACTTTAGTTTTTTATTTTAATATTTTGATTAAAATTATCAATTGCTAGTATAAAATCTCACAATATTTGTTGCAGTTAAAACTTGTTAAAACCTTGGAAGTAACTCTTCGAACCATTTTACAGTACAGTTTCCACCAAACCTCTGGCCAAGTTGCCTTGCAAACTGCCCTTAAAGTCATACCATTCCTTAAATTTGACATGAAATTCTTTTTTTAAATTTCCCCTAATATAATGAAATTTCTACATAAACGCCATGCGTCTGCATGTAACGAATCTTGTAACTCCTACGAAGTTAGACACAGATCTAAAACACCTGAATAATTATTTAGACTATGTTGTATCAATCCAATTACATTCTTATTTAACGGAGAAATAGCACGAACTCATCGAAAACGGATTTGGCAAACTTAGTTTTCTAATTCTTTTTCAGGTTAATGTCACTCTTGAGAAATATGTCACGAGAATTTAAAAAAACAAGCAGAATTTTGATTTAATGTGCTAACTGAAATTCTACTCATCTTTCAGTAGCGGTAACCATAGAATTGCAAATTTTTTTAATCTTTTTCTTCAGAGTAGATAAATTTACGAAGTTTCATTCAAGGCATTTGCTCATAAAATTGAGCAGATTAACTTTTTGACAATAAAACTGTATGTAGTATTTTTTGAAGCAGGAGAGGTGAAAAATGCCCTCACCGGGACTCGAGGCTGGATCTCTCGAAAACACGTCGACTGTGCTTCCAATTACACACGAAGGCGTGCCGAAAGGAGAGAGAAAATATCTTATAAGTTAGATCTCTCTGTGTGTATGCGTATGCGACTGGACGAATGAAAGATATAGAAATAATTTTAAGTTTCAGTTTCAGGATAAGTAACTTTTCAGAAAAACTGTAATAAAAAAGAATAGAATTAATTGGGATTTAAATTTGGTTTACAGTAAAGTCCCGATTATGATTTTGTTAATCAATAAAAAT